CGCAGCGGGGTGTAAGTTTGTTGTAAAACTGGATTTTTTTTTTCAGTGGAAAAATGGTCGAATTTTTCACCAGTTATATGGCGTCATAAAGCTATTATTCATTTAAATATTGTAACATAACAAAGTGAGTTTGTTATATCTGATGTAGTAGTTATTAATTTCGCTGGGAACTATTAAAAGTTTCGCCACTTCCTCATTCTCGAATGGTCCTGCCAGAGAAATATGTTGTTTAGTTTTGATTTAATTATATTTCTACCCGAACAAAGTTTCCCTACCTAACAATACTCCGTTTTCACAAAGGATGACAAACTTTCAATGCTGTTTAATCACTGTTAGTGCAAATAGCAGATGACAAGTAAGTTGTGCCTGTCGGAAGTTTCGATAACTCGCTATTAACAAAAGTTAGTTAAGACATCGGCATCAGCAAATTAAAGAGTAAAGCCTTATGAACGCGAGTCGTTGCATTGAAAATGCACATGTACTTTTCCAAGAAGATTACAAGTTTGTTCGGCGTGCACCCGAACTCTCCGGCAAAGATTTCTTTATGCTCGACTTTACGTTTCGCTTTGAAGCCTTTTGATTAACTTCCACGCGTTGTATTTGCGTTATTACGTGAAACGAATAAAGGCGAATTTTTGTTCGATGAATTTTATTTTTGGGCGGGTTCGGAATCGATGAGCCGGAGAGGAAGTGTTTCGGCGGCATTACAGCTTTCCGGGCAGCTTTCGGTCTAATTTGAGTGTCTTTAATATCTTTTATTTGAATAGGGTTTTTGAATGGGGTCAATCAAAGCGATGGGTCCGAAGGGCTCGTGAACGCTCCAGTAGAACGGCTCTAAAGATCGGAGTATTTCCGAGGCGCTCTAAATATCAACACCCGGAAACCTCAAAAATAGACCCTTAAGGAAATTGTTAATAACCAGTGTTTAGACATGTAAAACGAAATTTACATACATTTTAAAATTCAATTAAATATCTCGTTAAAAATCGAATGAAACAATGTTGTGGATTGTATTATTAAACTGAACTAACCGCAAGTTTAAAACACTTTAAGCGATCACTTTCGCATTCGAGTTTAAAGTGTAAGCTTATCTTTCATGTCGGAATTCCGTTTTATTGTGATCGTCAAAGTTTAGATTTACGAGCCGCTTTTCTCCCGATATTCTTAACCTCTTATTCTCTTCGGTATAGCGAATTTCTGCAGCGAATTCTCATTTAAATCGGAACATATCCGCGCGTATGCGGGCATTAAAGCAATTTAACGTTCTCTTTTGGACCCCGCCACCGAAACTAGCTTATTCGAATATTTCACATCCGATTTCGTAAATTATTGTTATATCTCAAGACTCGGGGGTATATACGCAGTATAATCCATCGCCTGCGAATCGGGTTAATGTATGTTTCGAGGATGTTTTGAATTAGCAGTAAAATATCAGCGACATCGACACAGCGAACATTATATGTTCTGAACTCTCGATGTCGTATTGTTCCAACTAACGACGAAAATTCGAAATTTCGAACATTTGTTATTCCATGTTTTGTCGGTTTTCTTGTATTAACATTAATTATTTTGTAAGTGTATTAACTCAATATAAAATTATTTAATTCTCTTTAAGTAACTGTGAAGTTACTTTTAGTAACGCCCACCTCTACAGGGTGTCTAATTAAAGAGGTTTGTATTAAAGACTAAAGACTGTATTAATAATATTAACATGTATTGGAGATAGATATGTATCTCCAAACGTAAAAATTATTGATATGTTACATTTTTTTTCAATTCATTATTTTTCATCCCCATTTCTCTTTTTCAATTTATTATATTTATCACGCCCTGTTTTATTAATTTTTAATGTGTAAAATATTTAGTTTAATATGCGATTCATTGACTGCGAATAATATTCACACGGTTTCGGTTTATCAAACACCAACATATTAAATATTTGATATTCAATTGACATGATATTTTTAATTTTATTCGCTTTTATAAATATTAACGGGTGCATATTTCCATTAATTCACAAAGCTTTCGTTTGATGTTATTGATATTTCGTTCATTGAAATTCCAATGTGTCGATTAATAGGTATCAAATTTAATAGAAGCGTGAAGACAATTTTTATCTAACGTTAAAGTTTCTTCCGCTTCCGCGAAGCTTTCCACCTAATTTTCACTATTTCTTGTAACTTTATCGTAGTCCTGCTTCAAGCGTGATATATCCTTTCCGAAGAGATGATAGCGGTGTCGTATCCTGATATTTATTGTCTCTCATGAACGTTCTTCTAAAAACATATTAACGCCTTCCTGGTTTCCTGCACAGAATTACAGAGTCAACAAAAATTCCCCACATATTTTTCGATGTTCCGCTGGGAGAGCGCAAGATTTATTAAAGGAAACTAAATCCAGGTTTCTGGCACGCTGGAAGTAAAGTAAGTTAATCTGGGACAGATTTTCGTATTGCCTAATTTTATAGCTCCTCCGGAATCGGGTATAAATTTTGATTTTCGCGGGGATTTTTCGATTCGATGTAACAGTTGTTTAGGATTTTTTTTGAGTATATTTTCTAGGGGATTCACTCGGTTTTATTTATTGCTTTTTTGACATAAAGAACCGCGCCCTTTCTATCTTCTGCCATCAGCCATATTTCCTCCTATTTACTCGACGTTCGACGGATTCCATCGGATTTATTTACTAGCTTAGACCTGTTTACGCCATCTTTGTAAATAGTGGAAATGCATACGGTATTCCTTTTTACTCCGGTCGTGAGGCAGAATTCTCTATTCTGCTGCGCCATCTTCGAAAAAATACTGAAAGCAATCCGGGTTTTAGCGGTAAGAATGATGTAAAGGAAGCCCTATTGTGCGGACGATTCCACATCCCTACGTGAAATATTATTTTTCACACTATAGAGGATAATAAGCTAGGGAGTAATAAGGATAAAACGTGGTGTTTAAAAGAAAGTATAAGAAGTTGGAAAGATGAAATTACTGTTATTTTTTATTGCATTTACATCACCTTTTATTAATTTAAATTTATTTAGGTAATGTAGCTGTGAATTTGTTTTTTACTGTAATTATAATAAAATACTGTTTAATTATAATAAAATCAATCGATCATCAATTTGGTGTAATCGTGTTATAGGTGCGAATCTTATTGGCAATGTATAATGAAACTGGAAGGAAGGACTTTTATCGCGTTTGATTGAAAATTTAGTGCTGCTCGAAAGCGAAGAAACGCGTTGTAAAATTTAATCTTCCGGTTTCTAAATCTAAAGTCTGAATGAATTTTCGCCCGATTTCTATTGCCCGCCGTTTCAGTAACGGCCCCTCTAACAATATTTTTCTCTAAAACATAATGAATTACGTGCGTGGAATTGCGCCCATTTCCATTTCACTTTTCTTCATGCTCTCGCTGCGAAATATATATCTCGGACCATATTTTCCCGTCGCGAGGAAAAGTTTCGTTCGTCGGGGTTCTTTTTTTCGTTTTTGCAAATTTTTATATTCTGATAAAGTAGGGAGAATTCCATTTTTCGTTATTAAAGGTTTAGCAACGTGATTCATCTCCCTCTAAGTAGGTCGAAAGTTTGGTATAAATTGATATACAAAAATACCAGTAACCGCGCAAAAAATACTCTATTAATTAGTACATAACGAAAACATTTTCATTAAAATTGTGCATTTACCATTTTAACGCGATTACGTATTCGCATTTATGTAACAGTTAATAATTAATCAAACCTTTTGTTTGTACATTTTATATACAGTGACTTTATAAAGTGCGCTGTAGATTCTTTGAAAGCCCTGTATAAAATATCGATGAGCTGTATTTAGTTTTTTTTTACCCAGCTAATGAAAGCAATTAATCGTGAATAAACATAAAACGAGAACACTATTCGATCCTTTTTGGTAGTTATTATTTCACTTTAACCAATAATTAAATTGGAAGCACCGAATCAAATTTCTCGATGTTCCTGAACATCTGAATTTAATTAATTTACGATTGAATTAGGGACGCGAGAAAGTAGCCGCTTTTCAAACTGTTCAACAGTTAATTAACGAACGAATTTATTTGTTTTCGGTTCATTTATCGGGTGTATTAATTTAAAATTATTCCCGAACTATATTTAGCCATATCGTGCCATTTTATATCAACTTTGCGGTCGGTTAAATTAAACGTTTTTAGTTTGTAGAGCACTAAATAATTATTATTGAAGTGATATTATCATATGCAAGTTTTGATTTCTGTTTGAATTAAATTTGCCCTACATTAATAATTAACTATGCATAAAAGTTGAAAGTTAAATAAATTACAATTAAATATTGCAATTTTCTATCTTTAATTTTTTGTTAGTCAAAACTAAACTCATTTACTATTATATTAAATATATTTGCTAATGAGTTATACATATGTACATTTTTTTGATAAAATATAAATTTGCCTTTCATGTGCACATTTTATATACATAATTATTTTGTAATTATTATTTATGCAAGGTATTTATGGATATTCATCAATTTGTTTCGGAGAGTAAAAGCCAAATTATAACAATTTAATTAAATCCGCCGACGGAATAATTACAAATCGCAAATAAAATAGAACAACCCCGGTTTAGGAAGTCAACTTAGAGAAAATTCCTTTAAATATCTGTTCCGTACGTAAACTCGAACCTAGTCTAAACAGCCTTAATAAACATTTTCTGTTTGATTAAAATTGCATGGACGTGACTGAGATCCCGAATAAAAGAAAATTAAATGGAGTTTTGTTAACATTCCTTCGGCGGAGTTTCAAACTCGCTATCTCGCCTTATTTCTTAACTGCCTATACTGGAGTTTTTATTGTTTCTCTTTTTGTTTCAAATCTCCAGTTTGTGAATGCAAAAAAATGTAAGCAGATTCTCCTCTCGGTTATTCCCCGATTACTTTTTTACAAATTGCTCTCTCACCTAATTTTGATTTCTCCTAATTTATTAGGTCCGTAATTGAAAGCACTTTCGAGCTTTTTTTTTGAGCGTTTATTAGGGTTACACGTTTTTTTAATTTTACGTATTTCTCTGCGTTCTACACTAAAAGCCAAAGTTTTATTACATTACAATTTTTGCATGTCCTGATAAACATTTCCGTCCTGGAATGCGCCAATGGTAATTTCCTAACTTTGTTTGTGCATTTGGCGTGTGCAGCTCATTATTAGTTTTGTGCATTTTCCGGCGATTCCATTGTTTGCAAAAATGTGAAAAAGGAATACGCTGTTTTCACCATCTGAAAAATAATAAAAACCTGCTCAGTGAAATTAATTTTTTATATAATAAAATCTTATCCAAGCGATTTCAATAGTTAGGCAACGTTTTTATGAATGATTAGATAATTTGTTAAGACTCCGCAATTAATCGAATTTCGCTTGAATATAACTATAATTAACTATTATAACGGATATTCAATTAGTATATTAACCGTGATATAGAGATATTTGGTTCGAAATTAGCTCTATAATGCTGTATCTCCCTAATTAATATAGGTACATTTCTGATAAACTACATGCTATTGAATTTTCTGAAATTGGCATAGGCATTTTGATTAAATTTAGTTATTTGGGCTATTTAATTAGGATTAATTCATTTTGCAGAATATTATGTACACACATACCTAATATCCGAATGCGGAAACGCTATTTCGGATTTATTAAGTGAATATTTTGAATGATAGAAATGTAAATCTTGCCATAGATATTAACATTTTGATACACGTCAATACCGAGTATTTAAACTCAATATCCAATTATGCATAATCATCGAAGCGAGCGCTTATTAATATGATTAAACTCGATATTAAATTAGGCACTCATAAGTTTTGGATGAATTTGTAAATTATAATGACTCTACTGATGTGTAATGTGTGTTGATTACAGCACAAAGCAGGTTCGTTCAAACGTTAAAGAAACTATTAACAATCACCTGGGTAATAACAGTTAATTACTTGTTAATAGAAGCATTATTAAATACCTACTGCAACTATAGTTTGCCTGTTGATATCGATGAAACCCAACGCTGATAGACACACCATCTTCTGGCTCCTGAATATCATGAAACTCATCGCTTTTCGCAATCGAATGATATTCGGTAAGTACCATTTGCAGTGGTAAAATACCGAATTTGCAACGTTTTCGGCCTGAAAATAGAACCACAGAAACGAAATTTACGAATGCACTGTAATTAATAATAAAATTAAGGCGAAAACTGTACCTCATCGATTAACTTTTGGGCCGGTACACCGTACAATAATAAAAATTCTGAAGTAAATGCGCACACCATTGTTCCGCAGCGAATTAAATCAACGACTGTATTATGTCTAAAACAATTTATTTCGCAGCATTTCGGCAGTAAACTTAAACTCGAATAAATTAAGAAAACCCAGAAATTTTCCCGCAATATTTTACGCTATGAAATTACGCCGTTGTGTACTTACGGTTGGGACAGAACGTACATATTCATGCACAGTAATGAAGTTATTATTGATATCAACAGGGTGAATAGCCAGGAGAATATCCCATCCAATTGTCGAACGTATCTAAAAAAATAATTTATACATTCTCCTCTTCTTAAGAGGGCTTAAAGCCTGAAAAAGCTCCGTATAAAAATAACTTATTGCGTACAAGATAAAAAATACCTTAAAATAATCTAATACAGTTCTTTTCAGTGCTCTGGAGCGAAAAAAGGGAGCCACTTAACAAGATGCAAAAAAGAAAAGCGAGTGGAACTTAAAAATTTAGTATCATCGAAATAGCTGAATTAATTAGCAAGGGCGAATTAAAAATAATTGGCGAAACCGGGGTATATAAAAAACACAAATTAAATTCGAACAAAGCGAAAAAAACAATAAATCCATCGACTCGTAAATTTCATAACAATTCTTCTTCATTCCCGTTTGTTTTACTTACGAAATCAAGCACTCGTGATACTCGATGTCCTCTCTCAATTCCACAGTGCACATCTCGAGCCCTCGGCCGCTCTGCTGGGTCTCGCTCAGATCTAATTGCCTCATTTTAGCGTTCAAATTGCTGAACTGGCCGGCGCCCAAGTTGATGGTGATACAAATGAAAAGATTAACGCCTATGACCATCGACATCGTCGCCAATGTCACGTAGAATTCGATCAAATACGATACCACGAAAGGGATCTGCTCGATTTTGTAGTAGTAGTATATGGTGGTGCCTTGGACGAGCAGCGGCTTGAACAGGAACATGCAGGTGCTGAATAGGATGTATATGAGAAAGTACTTTTCGGTTTTTCTGAGACTCGCTAGGATTTTCGAATTTTCGCTGCCAGCGGGATCTTCTTTCCAGAATAGTTGGGTGTATTGTATCACCTTGAAGATTTCGTCTTTTTTTATTGTTAGCACGAAGAATTTAACCCATACCTTGAATATTTAATGCGATATAGAATTAAGTTAATTAGTTATATTTACAATAAAGTACCTACCTGGAAAAACACTCCAAGTGATTCGACAGTGACTAATTCTTTGCTGAGAAACAACCTCAGGAGTATCAGGACGGTCACGTAGGCTGTTAAGATTGCGTTGAATACTATTAGAGGTTTAATGTAGCCCTTTAGGGGATGCATTCCGACGATTCCCCATAATTTGAAGACGTTCCTGAAATAAAAATAAGAGCCTTCTTCGGCAGCTTCGTCTGCTTTCATGGTGATTCGAATAAGTCAGTCATTCGTTGGGCAATTTGAATTTATACGGTCATGGAAATTGCTAAATTTTCTCGTTATGTATGCAGTAATCGGACAATTTTCTTTAAATAAATATTGTAAGGCAAAAACGATGTAATTTTGCGAATAAAATAAATGCACTGCAGATAATTTGTATAAAGTTTCAGAAATATTACAAGATCTGTCTTTGTTAGGTTTTTTTTTTAGTTTTATATCCTGTTGTGAATATCTTAATAGTATTTCCCTATAAATATCTCGAAACATAAAGCCCCCGCTTTCGTCGTAAACGAAAATGCCCCGGTGCTCGAGTCGTATATCGAATTGAAGTCAATGCATCATTTCCTCGGCTCGGATTGTTCTCCTTTTGCGTTTTGAAACTTTAAAATCCGTAAAGTCGCTCTTTTATAGCGCCCAGTTAACGTTTCATATCTGAAACTTTCGAGCGAACGCCGATGCTCTTTCGCCGCCCCCGGATTGTACCTAGACCGGAAGTACAAGTCGTAAATTCGGAACAATATCCGGTAGGTTTCGTTCGCAGGAAACGAATCGTTTATTTCCCAATGGCCTTTCGAGCCCAGCCAGTTTTCTTAGCTGGATAAATGACTGTCAACCGGTTTAAAGGCGGGCGAGATTTTCGTTCGGTCGTTTGTTATTAAAAGGAGAAAATGTTTGGGGGGGGGGGGGCTTTTTCGAGCTTTATGGAGCTTTTTGCCTACCTGCAGCAGCTTTAAAATGTTATTCGTTTTGTTTCAGCTGGTGAAAGCACTTACCAATGCAGCCCTATTGAGTATTTCTCCGAGGAAGCGTACAGTCCTGATCCGAACGATTCCACTCTAGCTATTCCATGTAAGTATTTAATCGGTTGGAATTACAAAATTTGATTCAGTAAATAACTTGGCATTTTTCGATTATAGATGCCGTTTCGAAATCGATAGTGTTCATCTTCATGGGCAGCGCATTCGTGGTAATCGGTTATATCATTTGCATTCTCGGCCAATGCTTGAATACGACGGCCAAATTCACCCTAATATCGGGCATAATTTTTATACAGACAGGTAAGTTCATACCGCATTATATGCTATTATACGAATAGCTGATGGTCTATTAGGAGGAAATAACGACCTATTATTTGAAAGAATGGCTCTATAAGCTGTAGTAAAGAGTCGTTTTTATTAGACTCGTTTTTACATAGTCGAAATTTTTAAATAAAAGACCTTTTTACTAGTCAAAATTGGGAAAAATAAGCAATATTATTGAATCATTAGTTGAATCATCCTGGAGTTGTTGTTGTGTGCGGGCTGGTTTTATCAGCCCCAGAACCGCCTAGATCAAAGGATTAAAGGATTGGATCAAGGAATCGGATCAAAGGTTCGGATCAATGGTTTACATTTAATGTTACCTCTCTGGTAGAAACAATGACTTCATAACAGCGAGAAAACTAGAGAATCCGATCCTTCGATCCTTCGATCCTTCGATCCTTCGATCCTTCGATCTTTCGATCCTTCGATCCTTCGATCCTTCGATCCTTCGATCCTTCGATCCTTCGATCCTTCGATCCTTCGATCCTTCGATCCTTCGATCCTTCGATCCTTCGATCCTAAACCTCGATCGATAAACCTTATAGAAGTTCCAATGGACTGGTTGTGTCTAGATCTTTGGGATCCACAAACATTCTTCTCGAGGTTTTGTACTGCTTGTAGATAGTGCAAGACGGTATAGGTCCTGTGAGTAGGCTGATAGTCCTAGGTGTTGAGAACTAGATATATTTTACAATTTTTCTGCGACTTCTTATGTTTATGAACCCAAATTCTGTTTGCAGGACTGGCAATGCTGTGCGGTCTAATAATGTACATAGCAGTATTCAAGTCGGAAGTGGGCAGTAAACTTCGTCCGCGATCCCAAATCCAGCCGGCTTCGTTCGATTACTTCTACGGGTTCTCCTTCATCACCTACGTGACGGGCGTGGTGTGCACCAAATTCACCGGAGTATTCTGCGTGTTCCTGTTCATCAACAAAACCCAATACGACTGGAAGAGGAAGTGGATAATCGAAGCGCCGCCCGTCGTGGAGACCTACTCGAACTACAAGGAACAACAGAGGGCGGCGAATCCCTGCAGGATGCACCCCGACGCCTACGTGGACTCGAACAACACGGTTCTCTATCCCATCATAACGAATCACAACCACATAAACGCCGTGAGTTACCCGTCGAGCCATTCGAAGACGTTGCCGTGCAACGTGCACGCCGCCTCGCAGTCGAACTCGAACTCCCTGAAGGACGTCTCCTACTTCCCGGACGTGTTCTCCCCGTCGAGCATATCCTACCGGTTCCCGCACCACCTGAGCACCAACAACATCGACAAGTTCAGCACGTTCCAGCGTGAGGCGAGCGCCTTCCCGCGCGATCCGACCACCAACACCGTCAGCACGACGGCGGACGTCGTCTGCGAGTACGCCGAGGACTACTCGCCGACGATGCACGAGCAGGAGTTCGCCCGGTTCGACCTGGACCAGCCGTTCGACCTGCGGCAGGCGCCGAGCGTCGCCAGCTTGAGCTACAAGGAGCGGTTAAGTTGCCAAAGTGATACGTTGAGGAGAACTACGCCGGTGTGAGGGGCTCGCTCGGGCTCGAGCCGTACTTGAGGTTATTTTTCGTGCATGGGGTGTCGAATGCCGTCGTTTTTATTGGTATTGATGGCTGATATGATTAATGTTTCGTGCGGCTTGTTTGGAATTATCGATTGGCGCGATGCGTGCAGCGTTTTCTGGGTAAATAGATGCAGGACGGGGAAAGAAGTCCTGCGAATTTGGGGAATTGCGGTTGATGTTTGCTCAATGTAGTAATGGGAGAAGTTAATGATATTGTTAAGTATAAGAGATAATTTAGATGGAATTAAAGTTAAAGGTAATTTAAAATAGTGTTTGATGTCTCGGAGAATATTGCACGATAGCGAAATAACAAAAAGGTACCTAATTTTTCCTATCAATAAACGACTGAATTTTCTAATTTTCGATTAAAGAGCGTTTTTCATGTCAGTCGTCGATATAATATTTGTATTAAATTTTATGTATATAATATATATCGTTAATCATAAAACTCATTATCAATTATTAAAAAATGACTTTTAGTAAATGGGGTGTGTCTGTTTTTTACTATTTTCGTACCTATTTTTTTCTAAATAATTTTCCTCCTTAGAACTGTATGTATTTGTGGTTGCCTATCCACAGAACCAAGTAAAAATTGTAAAAATAAATCGCCAGCGCCATCTATTTTATTATAAGTAAAGCTATTCAAGATGGCGGGTGTGCTTGAGGTTACGTTAGAACTCTACGAATTTACTTATATTATTGACTTTTAGTGAGTAGTGCTATGAGCAGATGGCAATACTAATTTGGTAAGCAATTTTATTAGGTAATTTTTAATTCGTATTTTCCCTAATTTTGATATTTTATGAGCAAATCGTAAAAACAAAAACAACGGTCGTGTATATCAACAAAAACGACCGTGACAAAAACAATCAAACAAAAATGGCAATTAATTCGACAGTTTGACACTTACATTTTATATAAAATAATAAAATTCATTATTTTGCACCTTCTATTTATAAACTAGGAGAAAAAAAACAGTTTTTAGCGAATACTCTTTAATAAAAACAAATTTTCATTTCACATCAATTATAATAAAAATTATACATACAAAAAACATGCGTATACAGTCAAAAAACAATCGTACAATTATTTACAGGAACTGAACATACGAAACACGTCACAACAAAATTACATGCCATACAATTTGCGCGAGATCAGTCTTAATTTTACAAACAAAATTGTACTGCACAATAAAATGCCATTAGCGACTACCATATATGGGAACAAGTACTGGCTCAAATAGATATACATATAATTAGATAGATAGGTTCATTACAAGTATCTATCTACAGGTTTATATTTTAATTTTATTCTTCAAACTCGAGTAATAGATTATACAAATTATATTGAAGAAAAATTAATAAGTAGGTACTTGACTAGTAACAACAATAAGTTGAGATACAGCGTACTAGCGGCTTTCTCTTATCAAATATTATAATTAATCGGTATTCCAACACAACATACATCCATACACTTAGCTCTAAACGTAGATACAATTCTTTATACACAAATATACATGCACTTTAACGTCGCATCAATTTCAACATTGATCAATGGTTGCACCAGTTAAACGTAACTCGTACAAGTCGTCACGTCGACAGTCTCTTTAACCCTAACGGTCACTTCTCGTTACACCATCGTCACGTTCCTCTTCTTCTTCTCGCCGGAGTTGACGGAGCTGAGCGACCCCTGCAGGCTCTGGTTGAACGGCTCCCGTCGCTGCATGCTCTGGTAGATGGGGTGCACATGCTGCACGGCCTGCGGATGGCACTCGTACACCTCGTAGTTCGGCGGGTAGCGGCTGTCGGAGAAGACGGGCAGCGGCGGCACCGGCGGCGGCATGTGCGTCTGCCCGTAGGCATCCGTCATCGGGCCCATGTGGTCGGCGTCGCCGTTGATCAGGAGGCCTTGGTGGCACATCATCTGCTCCTGGCCGGGCATGTTGCCTTCCATCGGGCTGCGCCGGCGCTCGTGCTCGTGCAAAAGCTGCGAGGCCGTCCAGGAGTTGTACGGGCTCAGCACCTGGTTTCTGTTGATGCTGTGGTTAGAGATTACGCTGACGCCTTCGTAGTTGTCGCGCTGTTGGTGATGGTGCTTCAATTCCTCGATCAGTTGTTGTTCTTGTTGGTGAACCAGGGAGTAGCGTTTCTTGGTGTCGTCTTCGTAGCCGTAGTTGTTTATGGGCACGCCGATTTGATGGGGATCCGGCATGTCCTGGCCCACGTAAGTTTGCGTGGAGTTATTGGAGTTGTTGTGTTGCGGGGAACTCGGTACAATAGTTACAGTAGTGCTCAAATTGTCCTTCTTGATGGCGTTGTCTTTCAAGGATTTGGCGTTGTCTACGTGTTTTCTCTTACAAACGAAGTATAGTATCGATAGTATGATTAGTAGGACGATTATTGTGCCTACTACTCCGATCGCTATGATCACGTTAGAGCTTAAAGGCATGCTTTTCGAAATGCTCGGTCCTGCTACTTCGTTGTCGAAGGAATTCCCGTGGTTCGGCCAGTAAGATTGATCGTTCGAAGAGTAAGTTGGCGGTACCGTAGGCGGCGGTGGAGGAGAATTCACTAGCACCCTCACCCAATTAGAAATCGGTCCGGAAATGCTATTGGTATTTTTCGAGTAAGATTTAATAGCGAAATACAAAGTATGGTCCAGCAATTCCTTCTTCTGATTGAAGTCCAGAGTGAAGCTAGTCTCGGATCCTGGTGATAGAGGAAACGGTTGGCCGTAGTCCCACAAACGCGCTTTCGTTTCGAAATTGTCCAATATGTCGAATACGGAATCGGCGTAGCGAATTTCGTAATGCGAGACCGAATCTCCTCCCATGTCGGGCGAGGTCCAAGATAGTCTGGCCTTCAGCTCGTCGGCTAAGATCTTGGCTTTGAGATCACCGATCCGGCCCACCACGAAATCATTCGCCGTCGAAATATCTTCGGATGATATTATGATTGTTCGTTTGGGTAGTACACGCTGGAAGGGGGCCAAAGGTTGAACTCCGTTCGATGTAATGGCGCTGCCACAGCAAGGTGCACCTGGAGAATAAGCAAAAGAGAACCGGTTAAAACAATTCAGCAGAGTTAAATAGATGATTCAAATGTCTTACCGTTTCCTTTGAAATTATCAGACCAAGTGTAGGCGGTGTTGCCGTTGTCGCTCGCTTTGACTTCGAAATTGTACAGTCCCGGTCCCCATTCGGCTGCGCTGAAGTATTTGGTATAAATCCCGTCTCCTTTGGTGATATCCGGGTCGCCGGAACCGGTGTCTAGTAGTTCGATTTTCGTTCTGAGCGGAAGGGATCCGTTCGCTCCCGGTTTGGTGACCGTGATCTCAACTTTCGCTCCCAGAATGGGCAAGTCTCCGTATTTGACTTCCGCTAGAAGTAGAAAAGGTCCTGTGGGAGTGTTTCTGCGTATCTTGAAGTCGGCTCGAACGACGGGTGAGAGTAGAGAGCGAGGTGTGGCCATTACTTGAATGAAATGAGGTTGAGGATTGCCGGGGTATGGTTCTACAACGTAGGTCCAGGTTCCAGTCTAAAATACAAACGAGAGATTAATTTGAATAAATAATTAGATTGTTTGATTAGATCGTACCTCTGATATATTGGCGTTGAGAGTAATCATCTTGAAATCGATGAGTCTATCGTTTCTACTCGAGAAGATTTGATGGCTTGGGCTGATCAGTTTTAATCCTTTGATCAACGGTGTGATGGTGTTGTGGGTGTAAAAAGTAAACTGAGCTGGTTCGCCCATGTTGGGATCCAGCATGAAGCTGCCTGTGATTGAGGATCTTCCGTCATCAGTTATAGCTTTTCTGTGGATTTCTATCGGTAGATCAATTTGATTTTTGGAGCTGAACTTCATGACTATATCGTACAAAACGTTGCGTAGTTCGAAATAAGTAGTCAGAAGTGTGGTATCCACGTTCAATTTTTGCTCGAAAACTGTATAATCTGCTCCTCCTGTTTCGCTAGCCAACAAACTAAGAGTGTTTGCTCTGTTGATATCCGGATAATTGACAGTAGCTACTTTGATTTTGGATTTTTTCAGGGCGTCTATCGTAGTTTTCATGTGGTTATCGACCGTCATGCCGGTTCCTATGACTACTATTACGTTATTCGCTGGCCCATCAGTTTTATTCTTCTCTTTCAGCATGTTCATAGCTTCGGTAACAGCGCAATGCAGGCACACTTTTTGCAAACTTTCGCTGGTCGTGTAAGGAATAGCCGAATAGAATTTATCTCTGTTATTAATTCCGAATCTATCGTAACCGTTCGCTTTGACCGGAACGATATTCAAAGCTCTGGTGGATTGCGTAGGATCGGATAAAACCATACCGATTTCGGTGCTATCGGGCAGCACGTACCCAGCCCACTGTCTCAGAGCCAATCTCAAGTAACTCCACGACTCCCTCAGCATCATGTCTTTGGAATTCTCGATGACGAACACGTACCTGGTGATGTTCTGTTTCTTGTAAACGATCCTGGGCGTGGTATCGGTGATTTGGTTGCCGGCCAGCGTGTTCTGAGGATTTTTCGAGAAATCCTTGTGGTTTATGATGACGTCGAGCACGCTCCGGCGTTCGCAGAAGAAATTGTGTTTGGTGGGCGCCATGCGATTGTGGTTACCCTCGTCGCAGAACATAGATATCGATGGAATTATCGGCGTAAACATTATGCTAGAGCGGGCTTTCTCGTCCACAATTTTCGTCAGGTTGTATTCAGCGTGTTTGTCGCTGCAAATCCTGCGAAAAAATTCAAATTGTAGTTGCTTCGGGGTAGATACACATCATTTGCGAGTAGGTTATACATAATTCAAAACATTGCTCTTACCCGTTATCAATAAGTGGCAGATCTGAGCAGCCGGTGACCTTTTCCTGTCGGCTCTGATCGTCATGATAGCACATCGGGTAAATGGGATCGTTGTTGTAGCCTTCCTCGTCGAAGACTCCATAACGATATTTGGCGAATTCCTTGACGAATTTCCTGCCTGCAATGGATCGTGTTAGAAATTTGATATGTGAAACGTGTGCTGCGAGTGATCGTGGCTAATTGATAATTAAAGTACCGGCGTTCGTGTAATTTCATTATTACCTAATAAAGTATCGAGAGAAACTAAAATTATATGTAGGAACGGTAGGATAAATTGCGATTCTTCTGCGTTTCTATCAGTCGATTGTTCCGAATTTAGACAAATTACAAATTAAGTCTCGAGTTAAAATTCACTATTATTAACGATAATGTTTAGCATTAGGAAACCTCCATTCAAAGTAATTTCTTTTTAATATTGACCTCAATTGTTGCGGCAGAAGAAACTTTTTTTTCAAATTACCATTGTGTACTTTTCTAATTAAGGCGTGCCACAACGAAATAGGGAGGACACTTCCTTAATTATCGACGTTTTTTTTCCGAACAATCCTCGCATGCAACACTCTAATGAAAACATTAAAAACCGATTTTTTACCTAAATTATTGTCGTTCCTCAGCAACTCCTCGAATCCCAAGTAAATCTGATCGCCGGGCTGGCCGCAGCCCAGCGATTGCTGCGTCCACGCGCCGCCCCTAGCCGGATCGCTCGGCAGCACCGTCACGTCCGGGACTTCCCCGGAGGATGACAGAACGGCGGAGGCCACGCAGGAATCCGGCCAGTTGGAAGGAAGTAGAACAGTTGCTGATCGCAGGAAAGCCCGACTGTCGAGAGCGGAAAACAGGTATTGAGAAGCGCTCGTTAGGGTAGACTGCAACAAAATACCTTCGTTAAGAACACTGCTGTTATGAAGAAATTGTATTAAAAAAAGGTAAGTGCATTGATCAGTTTACGAAGAATACTTCAGGGTAATATAGCAATGATGTGGATATAATGAATTCGGGTATTCCAGGTTGTGATGTCATGACCAGATTTAATCTATTTCGATGAGTTTGTGTGGGCGATTTTGTAAAAGAATGTTTTGTTATAACAGTGTGTATTATTCGACCAGGTGAAACGGTGAACGGTAAACGGAAACGAAATGACTTTTTACACGATTTCAGTCGGGAATATTAATTGTGAGCGCGTCTAAGTGCAACGGACGAGATAAAAAAAATGCGACTTTTGTCGCGTTGTATCCCACAGCGTATAAAGCGCTTCATTATAGCATTCTAAACATTACAAACGGCGTTTCGATGTAATTTTATTCGAAATTTATTACGCCCTCGCGACGGGTTATTAATGCGCCGGTATCGACGGTACTTAGTACCGGTACCGGTTAGAAAAATGTTCGAATAGCATGCGTGCCATTAATTTCGTATACAAAGCTAAGATATTCACGTACTTATTAAACATAAATGTATAAATTTATAAACCTTCTTGTTATGATATGTGAATAAAAAAATGGTAAGGTAAGGATACTGTATTGTTGGATAAAATTAAAACCCAACTACGCATACTTTATAATGAAGAAAATATCGATTCATCATCAAGTACTTGCCTATACGATTAACCATTATTTATTGTCAAAATGCTAATTACATGATGTAATTGATACGAGGAATGAAAAGTACGCAACTAACCAGAAACTGTAAGAAAAATAACGATGATGTAAGTCGGTTGTAATGCATCCGAAGATGATAGACAGTTTTTAAATTGCCAATGCATCCGATTCAAGGTTGCATTGCTGTCGAGTTGCACAATTGCTACTGAGATTCTAACAAGCCATTGAAAGAACATCGATTGTATCATTCGATAGAGGTATATCCTGCGATTTACGGGATCTGTTCATCCATAAATAATTGCAATTTACAATAACAAAATAGTTGTTTTAAACGTAGGCGTAAACTAGTATTTGATGAGGTCTCTTTGTGATGGAATGGTGCAATTGTATTGTTCCATTTTTATCTATAATCGGTAAGATACGCACTGAACTATGCTCTGTAATGAAAATTTTGCGACAAACTCGTTTCTTTTGGAATACGTACACTTTTTGAGCCAGCGAATGACCTATGCAGCTTTATACTAAAGTAATCAAATTATTCAAACATCGAAATAGCAATAGCAATTGGCAAACGAAAACCGTGTTTTCCTCTTGTATACTCGTAGAATCTAAGTAGAATAATTCAGACATTCTCTCGGGAAGTAGGTCGAACGACCGAAGGCATATTCGTTTCTTCGTATAGATTTATTGATGCTTCTTCATCTGCTCGCTTATTGCAGTTTAACCTTTAGAAAGTCTCTCCCATACTCTCAAAATGTAAAAATGCCGAAGCAATCGACGAACGTGTTCGCTTACTTATTTAAGAAGAAAATGAAATTGGTTTTTTTTTCTTTACGTTTAACCGTCCGTTACCGTTAGGTTTTCGTTCGAGTTCTGCGAGATTTTAATTTAAATTTTAAAATGTTCAATTTCTTCGATAATATTACATAAGGAAAAACTAAAATTATCTCTAAAGCTCTCTCTATCTATGCTAGATAGCTTAAATTATTCTCGAAATTAGGTACACTCCAGGAATAGCTGTACTTACACGTGAACCGTATCATTGTACTAAAATAATGCATTTTAAATATTCGTTCTAAACATAACATTTATCTGTTAATTATTCGTTAAAACAAAAAAACTACAGCAGATGACCGGATCATTTCCAATTAAGGAGATTAAGATTTCATAATGTGCCATCATCATTATTCGGATAACGGTCGAGGACCGGACGGAAAACTAGTTTTTAACACTACTATATACTCTGACCTTTCACCCACGTGTGCTGCATATTTTCGTTTACAAGAATATGTCACCGAAATTAACCTTTAGTATTCGAATCGGAAAGACGTAGGTAAATACAAGAAGAGGGCATCCTGCTATAGGCGCCTTGAATATTTACCAAACGCTTTACGGTACTTTCGGCTCGGCGAATAAATTTCCATGACAATTAATTTATCATGTGTGTACAGTTGGTTTTTAAAAATTACTTTACAGGTGACTCTTTTTCACGACAGTGCAAATTAATCTTGTATTTTTAACGACTCCATTAATTACTCGTTTCTAGCACGCGAAGTTAAAGCGTTAAATGGCGTATTAAAGAAATTGTTGCGGCTTGATTGGAGCAAATAATAAATTCGATTGTTGAAAGGCAATGAATAACTCTATCGGTTTTCCGTGACTGAAACTAAAATGAAAAACACAAAACAACAATTTAATACGCCATTGCGAATCGAAAATATATCGTAAAAATAATTTACGATGCGGTTTGCATACATGTCGCCGCGTTTTAGCGAAAATTTCGAAGTTATGTCGACTCTAAAAGGTCCTCGTGACCGTTAACAACAAATACAAATAATATTAAAAAAAAACTTCATAGGCTCTAAATCGACCTATAAATATATCAGCCCGTTATGTTCGAGTCCTGGGACAGGATGAAATCGTGACCGGTATTCACGATTTCGAGCATCTTCGACGGATCGACGCGAAATATTGCTATTGATTGCCTTCGGAGATTACTAAAATTTCGTTCCTTTGTTCTGATGTGTAACAAAAAGTACCCGACATTCGTACCGAAACATTAAAGATACTGCAGAAGAGAGATTAAAAGAAACTGAAACGTTTTCCATTCCAAATACAACAATTTTTTATACCCATTTTGGTAAATAATTTGAATTTTCAACGAAGATTTTAGTGAATAAATAAATTATAATTTACCTCAAACGCACCTAGAATCATCTAACGTTTGAGGTCACACCTTATGAATGTAAATTCTAAATGAATAATGAATAACGAAATAAAAAAATCGCAATTTTACGAAATATTAATATTCATTGAAAATTACTGGCGGTAAAGAGTTTTTTTAAAACATGCGCTTTAAAAAGCAATTGAATAACCTATCGAGGAATCCACGGAAGAAATTCCTCGAGCCTCGTCTTATCGTTCTAATGAATCGCTGAGAAATCTTTTATTTATCTCCAGCATTAAATTTAATAATGGGTTTTTAGAAGAGCGTAGAGTAATTTAATAAAAAAATTATAAGTACAGTTAGTCAATATACCTACTAGGTCAATTAAACGACTTATTCATAGTTACTAAAATAGGTCTCATCAAACCAAAGGTATCACATGTCACAAATTTGTAGAATAATCCTTTCTACATGCATTTATTTATTCTGGTTCGGAATTCGAAAGGGTACCCTTTCTGTTGGCTTAGAAGAAAAAAACTATTTCGACAAATATACAATCGACAATGGCCGAAGAACGGACCCTCTACCATTTCCCATATCAATGGCTTTCATGAGAAGGAACCTAGTTGTGGGAACCGAACACTTCTCTGTTTACTCTACATTGTCGAGCTTGCACCTGATTTTCGGGCCAACAGGTAATAAATACTCATTGTGAGCAATGGGAATTATGAAGGACCCGATAATGGGAAAATTTTATGCGTTTCCAAAACTACAATCGTTATCAATGAACAACAAATTTGTGATTTCGAATGAACATGTGCATTAGTAGGTTATCCTTTAATCAACAAAATCCTTTTTGTAATACCATCTAGGCGAGTAGTAATTTGTAACACAATATTCTTCATCCTCTAAACGTTTTCCCCACAAAAATCGCACTTTTGCCGCTTCATTAATTCCTCGTACCCTCCGTATGGCGTCTCATTGGAGTATTTTTTTCCCGTCTTGTAGAGATAAAGTTACCTGGGACGCGTCCGTAAGGTAATACTTTCGTGTTTCGTGTTCCTGTTTACCATTTCGAGAGGCGCGTCGGACGATTTTAAGCGTTGATTAGGAAAAAGGTTTGTTAAGAAAGGTGACGACCGGTATTTTTATTTTAACTGTCCTCCGGAAAACGATTTTGATTTACAGATACAGTCGGTTTTTCGTGGCTCGGAATTCGTTTAGGCGAAGATGAATGTCGAGATTTTGTCGAGGCGACACTTAAAAGAACTCGAAGATTGTATCGATGTTAATAGCGCGTGATTAATGAAACGAAATATTATGCCTTGTAGGTGGATTTTTTTCAATTGTGATGTAACTTGGAAAATGGAGTAATTTACTGCGAGTTATTGGGATTTATGTGGGTCCGTTGAATTAAGTTAATCAATTCGTATGACTCGTAATTGTAATAGTCGTTTAAATCTAAATTGACGTTGTTCCAGCTCGTTAAAAATACATTAGTCTTCTTGGGAACATATTTTTTTGAAGAGATATATTTAATTATCTATTTTCATAAATGTGATCAAGCACGAACTTTCAACCGATTTGTTATAACAAGTTCTGGCTTTTTCCTGGTGAATTTCATTTTAAAAGACGCCATTTTCATTGCTCAGTTTATTGACAACCTACACAATAAAATTAATAAAAAGCGTTTATTGTCGACTGTAAACTAGCATACAGAAATTTTAACCAATTTCCCAACCGACCGTGACGGTGAATTAATTAGAATTTACAATGAAGTGGATCGATAAGGAAAAATAAAATTTTTACGACCGTTGCAATTAAATTGCACCATCGCTTCTACGACTAGTACCCGTCATACTATCTACGGTTATTCCTGTCGGTCCATACCTAAATAACTATTACTTTCAATGTTTTTAAAATTGATTTCCAAAGCTCCACACATGCTTTATGAAGACTACAAAATGTAGGCGCTTACTTAATTGTAATGTGATATCTTTAGTTTTACAAGTGGGGAAAGTTACCAAGTTACCAGTTAACAGGAAACTCCTGTTTCTTTGAGCTTACACTCTACTATTAAGCATTGGCCTTTTAACGAATT